CTTTGGGGACAGTTCCTCCCTGGGCTCTAGCCAGGTACTTAGAATGGGTGCTGCTGTCTTGTTCCATGAAGGGTGGGCATCTGACTCAAGCCAGTCCAATCATAGCATCCTAGCCTCCTGGCCACGGTAATTGAGCCAGGGGTGGGCATATGACTGAAGCTGAACCAATCAGAGCTCTTCCCTGGGATCTAAGCAGAGCTGATGGGACAGGTTAATTTCCGCTGTAGTGAAGCTATAAATATGTGAGTCAAGAACAGTCTTGTCCCCATTTCTTGGAGTGTAAGTTGGTTTTAAAGAATGGTCCCAACATACAGAAAAGGAGCAGAGATGAGAGACACATTTTTCTCTCTGTCTAGAATTGGTTGTTCAACTGTTCCTTTGAATCTGTGAAGGATTCCAGCTTCCTTCCAGAAACTTCCACTTTCTCCATAGTTGACTAGTCAGCCTCAGGTAGAGGAACTGGGTGACTGGGTGACAAGGCGTTTGTTTTCTTCTGCACATCCTTTTATCCATTTTGAATTTTGAATGTATTAATGTAAAATCTAGGGGCATTGAGTCGTTAAGCATCTGCCTTTGGCTCAGGTCATGATCCCAGGGTCCTGGGATCGAGCCCCACATCAGGCTCCCTGCTCAGCGGGAAGCCTGCTTCTCCCTCTCCCACTCCCCTCCTCACCCCCACATCCTTGAGATATGGGGCAGGGGCTGCTGATTGGGGACTCAAGTCATTTTATGATTGAAGGATATTGGCCCTATAGGGATGGAAGTTGTGGGGACACCCAGGTAACCTACACTGGCTTTCACTTCTAAGACTGGATATGGGATCACCCTTGAATCTTAAATGGGATACAAATCAAAGGCAGTTTTCTCTTATAACAGGAGAAAGGAAACCTACAGAAATTCCTATGCTGGGGGATGATGTTGGTTTAAAATACATCTCAAGACTTGATTTGAGGGCGCCTGGGTGGCTCAGTCGTTGAGCGTCTGCCTTCAGCTCGGGTCATGATCCCAGGGTCCTGGGATCGAGTCCCACATCGGGCTCCCTGCTCAGCGGGAAGCCTGCTTCTCCCTCTCCCACTCCCCCTGCTTGTGTTCCTGCTCTCACTGTCTCTCTCTGTCAAATAAATGAATAAAATCTTTAAAAAAAAAAAAAAGACTTGATTTGAATAGAGGTGCTCAACCTTTAGGACACAGTGCCAACATCACACTAGAATTAAGACTCTTGTGGAAGGGGACCTATGGGAACCTCACAGGATGGTGTGGGCCGGGAGAGGGGAGTGAGATTCTCACACCCAAGATCCCTCTTCTCAAGAATTACTCTTTTAGGGGAGCCCGGGTGGCTGTCGGGTAAGTGTCTGCCTTCATTGCAGGTCATGATCCCAGGGTCCTTGGATCCAGGCCTGTGTCAGGCTCCCTGCTCAGCAGGGGGCCTGCTTCTTCCTCTCCTCCCTGCTCATGCTCTCTCTCTCAAATAAATAAATAAAACCTTAAAAAAAAATTACTCTTTTAGAAATATCCCTCCACAATGGTTCCAAGTCAGTGGCAGATGGCATGCCAGCCATGGCATCCCCCAAATGGTCCTGTTCAGGGCCCCAGGCCGATAGGATGCTCTGTGGCATGTTTTTCTAACAATCAGATAAGCCAATACCATTAAATGTATTCATAGGCTAGTTCATCTTGAGCCCAGTGTGAAGTTCCCTCCTTCCCCTCACTCTCCAACACCCAATATTCTGGGACCAGATCTGAGAGAGCCAGTTATGGTGGCCAAAACCTTGACTGTAAGAGAACTGTTCCCTTATCATTGTTCCTTGTCAGCGGTGTCTAGCTTAAACTTGCTGTCACATAATAACCTCCTGGAGAGCGTTAGAGACTAACATTTTCACTCCTGTGGACTCTCAGAGCTATACACTCGGCATCTAAAGATTTTTTAGGGGCGTCTGCCTTCGGCTCAGATCACGGTCCCTGGGTCCTGGGATGGAGCCCCACGTTGGGCTCCCAGCTCAGTGGGGAGCCTGCTTCTCCCTCTCCCCACTGCTCATGCTCTCTCTCTCTCAAATAAATAAAATCTTTAAAAAAAAAAAAAAAGGTTTTTTTTAAGTCATTTCTACACCCAACGTGGGGCTTGACCCTGCAATCAAGGGTCACATGCTCTACTGACAGAGCCAGCCGGGCACCCCTGGGCTTCTAAAGAGTTCCAAGGGGTCCATGAGGGATCTGTGGCACAGGAGATCCCAGGCTAGTTGATAGCTTGTCTATGGGAGAGTCTTGGCATTCAAGGCTTTCCATGGCCTGGCCTTGACTTACCCTGAAACTGCATCACCTACAACTTCTTCACATCCTGAGTATGACCAGGCCAGTCTCCCGTCTTACAATCCCAATTACTGCCTCCCTGCTATGTCTCATCTTCACCCCACATTGTCTCCTGTCTCCTCTCCCTCTGCCCCATCCAACTCATCCTCCGAGCCTTGACTTCTCCAGTTCTGGAAGGACATATAAGAAGCTCTTAGCAGTGGGTATATCTCAACAGGGAGTCTGGTAGGAAAGAGTTTTACTCTTGTGTCTTTTTTTGTTTTTTTACCATTTAAATTTTTACTGCATGCATTTTTTAAATTAAAATAGTTAACTTTAATTAACACATTATCAGAAGGAAAATAAAAATCCACCTTCAAAGCAGGACCCTTGACCTTTGTCCTGCTTCAGTAAGGACCCCTGCTGCCTGGTAGAGGTCCACACGGAGTGTCACCACCTCTGATCAGCTCCAGGGGTGGAGCTCACTCTAGGACATACCCAAGGCCAGTGCCGGAGGCTGGGGTGTCTCCCAGTATAGCTGAGGGACACTTGGTGTGGCAGCATCCGCCAGACCGGGATGTGGGAACCAGACGGCCCTGGCCCTCTCTCTGGCTCAGTCACTAACCCTCTTTGGGAATCAGCTCCTTGAGGTTAAAATAAAGGGAGGGACTCCAGCTATGTGTTCAGGTGTTCCAAACCCACGTCTCAAATGGAATTTCTCCCCCTTCACACTCTCAACAGCCACAAAAATAAATTAATTTAAAAAATTAAGAAAAAACTGTTGGTCTTATTCTCCGTGACTTAGATTATGAAAATATTGATTTCCTGCATATACTTTTTAAAGCAGAATACTGCCTCCTCCCAACCAAAACACTGGACTAGAGTGTTCCCTTCTGCTCTAAAAAAAAAAAAAACCCAACCAAACAAACAAAAAAACTCCACTGAATTTGTCTGTTTAGCTTCTCAGCTCCTCTTCTTAGAAAGCAGAAGGAAGGGGGAAAAAAAAATCCCAGTTAGTTGGATTCCAGCTCATTACGGAGCCACGCTGCAGAACCCCCTGGCCTTGTGAAAATGCAGTCTGCAATCTGGACACCGTTTATTTAATTTCGAGAATTCCCTTTGCATGGCAAAAAGGGGTCTGAGGAAAGCAGAGCGGCGCAGATGAGGGGAAGGGTGGAAGCAGAATGCTCACAAACGTGGTGCCGGGTGCCGGCTGCCCACTGTGCTCCCTGAACTGGGAGAGAAGCAGGATCAATGGGAGGAGCAGGAAAAGTCATTCTTGACACAAACAAGGGTCTTGGGGCGCGCCACCCCTTCCCAGTGCCTGGTCATGCAAGATGCAGAAATGGAGATCATGGCCCCTCAGGACCACGGAGCAGATGCACCAACTCAAGGGAGTCCTTTGGGCGCCTCCTGAGGCGCCTGCAGGGTCTGGGGCAGAGTAGGGTCTGTGTCCATGTCCTTGAGCATGGTCAGTTAAACAGATAGCACCAGTTGGGAGGCTCAGGGCAGGAGACTGAGACTCTCAGACTCTAGCACCCACTCGCCCGGCCCTCCTGGGAAGAGACTCGCTTCCTTGACGGCTGCTCCGGCAGCAGGAGCCTCTCCTTCACCCCTTGGCCCTGGGGGAACTGGAATAAATCAACAAAGTGAGGTCTGACCCAGGGCACCAGCTGCCCCAGGGGGCCGGGTCACTACTGGGCAGTGAAAAGATGCTGCACCAGACTGAAGGGCTGGAGGTGGGAAGGACAGGCTGGGGGAGGGGACCTCCTGCCCAGGAATGCCTACACAGGAAGAGCCTTTCAGATGCACAACCCAGGGCACTGTGTAGCTGCTGATGGGTTCCCCAACCCCCAGAAACCCCAGGAGTTGGCCCCCTGCTGCTTCTGAGTTTTGGTGGCTCAGGGGGAGGAGACAGGAGAGAGAGACCAAGAGAGGCCAGGCCACAGAAGTCTCTCAGACATGGGAGGTAGGCAGTGTGTGTGGTGGCGGACACTGCACTGGGGTCAGGAGCCCTGGCCCCAGCCCTGCGGCTCTCTTCTTGTGTCGTCTTGGCAAACCATCCACCTGGGTCTCTTCTCAGTAGGGACAATCCTACCCCACGTACCTCTGAGGGAAAGGCTAGGGGTGAAAACGGATAACGGATAGAAAACACGTTTAAAAAAGTCTAAAGCGCTATTAGAACGCGAGGCAGTGCTGTCATCAGAGATGTTACCCCTTAGCTCATTCCTCATCTCCTCGTCACACTTCTGCTTCCTTACTCCGCATCCCTTAACCTTAGGACCTCATTTATCTCAGAGGGCTTCTGAGACTCCCTAGTTGCTTCCCCCGATCACAAACCGGGACTCCAGTGGCCAAACGGGCACACTAGGTGTCTGAGGGGGATGCCCGAAGCCTCTCGCCCCCTCGCCGTCCGTTCTGGCACCTTCCCTGAGGAAAGACGCTCAGCCGGCCCTTTGGTCCACCCTACGAGATGAGCTGGCCATCCATTTAGGCCAGACAGGTCTAGGGGACCCCTGTCCGACCCCTGGGGGATCCTGTCTGGAGTGCAATTCCTCTTCCCAATTTCCAGCAGCTGGCAGATAGAGGGAGGGAAGGCGCGCCGAGAACCAGGGGCAGGATCAGGGGTGCTCCGGCCGCCCCCCCGGGGCCCCCCCCCCCCCCCCCCCCGCACCCCTGCTCCCGCCTCCGGGCCCTCCCCTCCCCCAGCCCAGCCCTAGTCGTGCTCGGGCGGCGCCTGGAGCGGCCGAGGGGCGCTGAGCCCGGGGCCGCCGCTGTGCACACGCAGGTGGTCCTTGAGCGACTCCTTGTAGCGGAAGCTCTTGCCGCACTCGCCGCACGTGTAGGGCCGCTCGCCCGTGTGGATGCGCTGGTGCTTGAGCAGGTTCTGCTTGCGGATGAAGCTCTTGCCGCAGAGCGCGCACTGGAAGGGCCGCTCGCCCGTGTGCAGCCGCTGGTGGTTCTGCAGGTGCTCCTTGCGGCTGTAGGTCTTCTCGCACTCGGAGCACTTGTAGGGCCGCTCGCCGCGGTGCGTCATCTGGTGGCGGATGAGGCCCGAGTGGCAGTTGAAGCTCTTCTCGCACTCGGCGCACTCGTACGGCCGCTCCTTGGTATGGCTGCGGTGGTGGATGATGAGGCTCTTGCGCACGCCGAAACTCTTGCCGCACTCGGGGCACGAGTAGGGCTTGCTGCGCGCGCCGTGCAGGAGCAGGCTCCGCCGCAGGCCGCCCGGGCAGCAGCTGCCGCAGCCGCCGCCCCCGCCGCCGCCCCCGGGGCCCCCGCCCGCGCCCCCGCCGCCCGCGCCCCCC